TGAGGTGAGGGAGGAGGATGATGCTGTATGTTGGCATTAAACTGCGACCAACCCCATTGTACAAACATACCGTTTTCGACAGAAACTAGGCTGTTCAACATGCTAAATCCTCTCATTTTTTTCCTCTATCTCGTAATCAGCTTTGACATTAAGTTTGGACAAATCATTTCTTCAGTGTGTCTGTGTATTAATCCTGTTTTGTAACACCGATGAACCAATCAATTTTCAAAGATAGCTCGGTGAAAACTTTTGGTAATTCTCTGAATTTTCCAATTGTGGATTCCCGGAATCATTTATTATTAACTTCCCGGAAATATTATATCACAAGTTTACTTTACTCTTTTGTTTCTGATTTTTTTGTCTTTGCCTCATTATATTACTAATTTTCGTAAAATCTCTGATCCGACTCATTTTCTGGATCAAAAACTTTTTTATAAAACTTACTTTTTTTTTCAAAAAAAAAAGGTAATGTAAAATATTTTAAAACCTTAGCATCTGCTAAGAATAATTTGCTGTTAATTATTCGCTTGAGTAACGTAGAGTTGATGAAAGTGTAACATTTTGTAGCATTTCTAAGAACTAGCATGATTTGAAATTTATTTTATTACATAATTTTTAATTATGGTTAACAATTTATTAATTGTATGTAATTAAAACTATATATTAAATAGAACCGATTTCCAGCTAGTATTTTTGGTATTGCAATGTTTTGTAGTAATTAACACAGGCAAAGACGATCGTAAAATCATTCCTTTACTTTAATAATGATGAAAGTAAACGTAAATACTTGGCGCAAAACAAATTGTAATTATTTCTCGGAAGCAATTCGAGCGTCCATTTATTTGCAATAAGTGAATAATTTCTTTTCATGCATTTATCCTCTCTGCCCATTCGCGACGTTTCAATTGGTTTTTCTTCGGTTTTATCGTCGTCCCAAGCAAATAACAGCAACAGCAAGAAATTGCCAGTATGGTAATGAGCAGTAATTAGCGCTAATTGAAATGAATTTTTGTCGTACGTATCATTTGTAATGTGCGCTTGTATCGTTGCATTGAATTCCTCATAATTAGCATTATTGACATTACACAGTTGGCGCGAGAACAATTGACAAAATACACAAACGAGAACAATATGTGCATGGGGGACTACGGTACCAATCATATATATACACACACACATTTATGTATGTATGTATCTATATGTATGCATATATATATATGTGTATATAAATATACATGCATGAGCATGAATGTTTGTGCCTCTGGGTTGTATTTAACTAATAAGGCCTAAGCTATTAATTGATATCAATTTTCCAATTTCAAAATCGATATTTATGGAATAGCAATTACACTTTTATAATTAGTTCACTACGTTTTATTTATTTCTTAAATATGTATGATTATATATTTCGAAATCGATATTTGAAATAGGTTTAAAAAACTAAGTTTATTAAAAATTTCGATAAAATTGAAATACAAAAATCGCCCGAAGTTATTAAAATGTGCTTAGTTTTATGCATACAATTTGAATTTGTAATAATAAAGTAAATCTGAGAGTGTAAACAATTTCGAAAAAATAAATAAAAATACGAAAATTTGACTAGATATAAAATAAAGTTATCTCATTGGAACTACAGAGTTTTGTGAATTTCGAGTAATTGGATATAATTTGAATATGTAAAAATAAAGATAATTGTAATAATATTAAAATATTCGAAAAATTGAAGAAAATTGACAACTTATTTCCAGAAATTAATAATTAAAATAAATCTGAAAGTTGGGTCATTAGAAAGTACACAATTCTAATGATTTATTTGTCGTGAATAATTGGATACAATGGAAATATAAAAGATTTTTTTGCGCAATATGTTTTATAATGAATGCATTATAATTGACGTATTCTCCAGGTAGAAAGACTTCGGTCTTTAGTTATATTGGATGACCAATGAATATAAGAAAAAGTCAAATATAAATATATGAAAAATTAAAAAAAAATTAACAAAAAAAATCCAAAATTAGATAATTTATGACAAAAAATAATATATAAAATAATCTCATTAGAAAGTACTCAGTTTTATCTTTAGGACATTCAATGATTTATTTAGCGTGTATAGTTGTCGAGTAATTAGATAAGATATGAATATAATGTAATAAAGTTAAATCATAGTTAACAGTTGCCATAATGCGCTAATTCCATCTTATACAATACGAAAATATTTACAGTTGTACACAATTTTGAGTTGCTCTGTTAACTAAAAGCCACTTTTTGGAGTTTTAATCATTCACTATCTGCCACAATTATGACAATGAGTTGAACAGTTTTTTGACAAAGACAAAAAAGATAATAAACAAAATAAATAGGCATGGAGCGGAACAATTTCCCATGGGAAATCTTCCTATAAATAAATATAAATTTAATACAAAAATAATAATTCAATGATCTTCTTCCGTTCAGCCAGTACAACTTCGCGAACTTGATACTCAGTTGCTAAGTCGGCGATCCAAGAATAAGCCCAAGTATTTGGCATCGTCGGCCTGCGGAATGATTTTATGTCAAATACAAGTATATCAAAAATTTCGAAAAAAAAAAAAAATATAACAAAAACACCAAAATTTGACAATTCATTACAAACCATAATTTTTACAATAATCCCATTAGAAAGTACTCAGTTTTATCTTTAATTAGGACATTCAATGATTTATTTGACGTGTGTATTTGTCGAGTAATGATAAAATATGAATATAATGTAATAAAATAGACTAAAGTTATCATAAAGCGCTAATTCCTTCTTATACAATGCGAAAACATTTAGAGTTGTACAAAATTTGCTGATGCTCTGTTAACTAAAAGAAAAGCGTTATCCAATTTATATTATTTTCAAATTTTTAAACCGTACTATAGTGAATCAGAATTAATGAAAGCCGTACTATACGAGGAATTGTTGAATATTTATAATGAAATCAATTAATGTAATTAATCTTTAATTATCAAATAAACAAACAGAATATTTGGAAAAAATCGAAAAGATTATAAAAATATAATCAAATCATAACAAGACTTTATATAGTAATAAATGTATAATGAACATAAATTGTTAAATGTTGAGTTTACATTACTTACATTCTTTAATTGTGATAAACTTAGTTGAAACATCAACTGAGACAGATATAAAACGAAAAGTATGAGAAAAGGACACTTTGGGAAACAAAGTTGTAAAAGTGTATGAGGTATAATTGCAGAACAGAGCGAAGAGATTTGCGAGAGTGAGAGACAGTGGAAAGGGTTGGGTTTTTAGCGTTCGGTCGGTTGTCAACTTTTAACTAACTTTCCAATAATACCCAAATACCGTTTATGTGCAAGTCAAATACAAGTTTAAATTAGCTTTGCGAATAAATTAGCAAGTTTCGCGGGACGCCCATCTCGGCAATTATGGGCACCGCCCGGCCTTCTTTGTAATTATTGTTATTCAAAATTATGGAATTTCAGATGTTTTATTATGCTGATTCGTATTCGCCGCGTCCCTAAAAAGAGTTGCCCGCTGCTCGAAGCCATTATCCTTTATCCTTCTTCTACAAACCAAACCCCATTCTCATCCTCCTACAACCACCCCAATTTTGCATCGAGAATTTATAATTGACTAATGGCGTTTGTGTCGCGGCTGCCGTTAAACTTTTTAATTGCATTGTTTTAATGAATTAAACAAATGTACGCTCATCCCGTGATGAAGATGACGAGAGGAAGAAAAGAAACCTCACCCTTCGAATCCTTAAATCCTTAAAAATCCGAGAGGTTACAACCCTTAAAAAACACAAAGAGAACACACACATCTGTTGCTTACATAACTGAATATATACAGGGATGTTTTTGACCACGTAATGTTGCATAATTTATTTAGTGTAGCAAAAGGCTGTTTTCGGGGAGGGTTTGAAATTCATTAATTGATTTAATTGGCAGCATGGTCGAAACCCTCTGAAACTTTTTGCGGTCGGTGCATACAAATTTCCACAAAGCCCTTCCAAACTTCCGCACAAAAATACAACACACACATACTCATCCCCATTCCCCCCTCAACCTTTCGGATGCATCCGATAAATTAGTTTATGGTCAGTGTTTCCGGTGCTGCAATTAAGAAACTTGCTCTTTGTAAGATGCGCATTTCGAAGTTTTGCTCTCGACCAGTTTGCGACTGACCATAATCCCTATAGTTTATTAAACAAATATCGTTGAAAATCGAAGATTAGATTTCTTATTATATCCTAAATTATATAGTTACACCTCGCATAGTGCAGGAAATCGGTTCCACCAATAACACGGAGTGTTTGAACTGATACAATTAACCAAGAAAGTAAAACTATAGTCGAAGCATTTATGGTTCTGTCTGAAAAATATTAGTGGCGTCTGGTTTAGAACTAAGATTTTCATAAGCGAAATCCCTTGTATAAAGACAAGGGCGGATATATCCGCCGCATATCCGCAAATGGTTAATAAATAACATGTGAAAGAAAATCTCACTTAAATATTTAACGATTTAATATGTGTAATGATGGTAATGATTTTACATTATTTATTAACATTTGTTTTATAAACAAACTTGAATCATGATTAATTTTACGTTAATTTAATTTGATGAATATTACGTGAAACATATAAATAAATTATATATTTTATAATACAATTAATTAATTATACATTTGTGTATTTTACACGTAATTTTCCGGAATGCAATCATCAATTTTGTATTGTTATTTACTATGATTTATTTAATTGTAATACATATTGGTTTATCGTATAAATAGTAAAGCAAATAACTTTATTGCAAGTAAAAGTTTTATTTTAAATATAAGAAATGTGTATATCTCAGCCCGAAAAAAAGGAAGGATAAATATGATAATATATTTAACCATTTTTTTTTATTTCAGTTCGACAAAATTCATGTTAGAATATACACATTTTATAAACTTATAAGGGTATTATTATTTTAATTCATCGCCAAAGAAACGAAAAATTACATAACAATGTATTTGTAGTGTGTGTTCTACAAAGTTTTTAATCTATATGTTTTTATACCGTGTTTTGTCCACGTGATTGAAAAGTGATATAAATTATGTTTGCGTTTTATTAAGATTTTTGTCTCAACTATAACCAGGACGGTAGTACAACATATTTTATTGAAAAAGGAACATTTTTCTTCACATGAGAATTTAACGAACGTTAAGAAGGAAATAAAAGTAAGTAGAAATCATTATTTATGATTTTAAGCTTCAATTGCTTAAATTATTTGGGAAGTCTATTAAGTTAAGTTCTAAATGAATGCGCATTAATCCAACTACTTCGAAAGAATGAGAAACAAAATTTTATGTTTATTGTTCATATATCAATTTATTCCTAACATATTTTTCTTTTTAAATTTAAAAAAGAAAATTGTAATTTCCTATAACGTCCTTAACCTTCCGTAGCTACTGGACGGATACAGTGTCAAACATAAATTTATAAATCCATTTGCCTTCCAATCCTCGACTACGGTTTCTTTCTTTTCCAATGAATATACACATTTTATAAACTTATAAAAGTATTATTATTTTAATTCATCGCCAAAGAAACGAAAAATTATATAACAATGTTTTTGTTGTATGTATTCTACAAAGTTTTAAAACTATATGTTTTTTACCGTGTTTTGTCCACGTGATTCAAGTTTGTTTATAAAAAAATATTTATAAATGATGTAAAATCATTACCATCATTACACATATTAAATCGTTAAATATTTAAGTGAGATTTTTTTTCATATGTTATGTATTATCTATTTGCGTACATGCGGCGGATATATCCGCCCTATCCTTTATACAGGAGATTTTGCTTATGAAAATCTTAGTTCTAAACCAGACGCCACTAATATTTTTCAGACATAAAGGCTTCGACTATAGTTTTACATACTTGGTTAATTATATCTTTTATTTATTTTAGATTGATTTCTATTTTATTTATATTCAAAAAGATCAAACAATCCGTGTTATTGGTGGAACCGTTTTCTCATACTAAAATACCTGTCCGTATACAAACGTTCTGTCATTTGCATCTTAGCCAAAATTCGACATCCACAATCCACCAAATGATCTCCTTTACTCTGAAACAAAAAATGTTCCTCTCCTCGACAGATTCCTATCGTTTTCCTTTAAATTCATTTCCAAAGATTCCAATATTTTTTCCCTTTAGCAGTTGTTTATCTCTCGTAATCCAAATATTTATCCTAAATTAAAGTATTTTTTTTTATTTTACTATTACTTTTTCTGAATTTCTGGCCAATAAATTAATTTTATTTATTTTTAACAATTATTTAGACAATATTTCTAATTATAAATAAAATATATCTTTAAGAAAAAGTAAATCTTCTACATTTTTTTTCTAATATATTTTTTAATTTCTTAATAAAAGTACGCGTAATTGGATTTGCCTAAATTGAACGACAAGAGATTGTTATATTGAAAAAAAATCGAACAATTATATATTTTGCTATAGCAAGAATTTAGAATCAATAAATGTATATTTTTTTATATCGAAAAGTGTTATAAAAGAAACTCTATTATTTCATTTTAGAAGAACTTTTCAATTATATAATTTAAATTTATGCTTTTTTTCACCATTATTTTATATAATATTTCCAATTATTTCTAAAAATATGAAATTGTTAAAAATATCACCATATATATCATACAAACATATAATTTTATTTCATTTATGGAATTTCTTAAAACAAGGAAATATTGCGCAAAATAAAAAGTTTTGAATGTTTTGTCCCATACATCGAGCTTCTTCTTGAGACCAGTCTTATGCAAATGGTTCCAATCGGTTTTCTGGCTAATCTTCAGTTCCTGGACAATGGAATAAGTGCTCGCATGTTGGTCCAATTCGACGATTTCCATGATTTTATCAATATTTTCGACGATGAGCATGTCTCATCTTCGACGTCCATATTACCAGAATGGAAGCGTTGTTGAATTCGATACTCTATTGGGTCCATAAATAAAGCATTTATTTTTGGCCGCCTGCTCCGCTTTTCCCCTTTCCACTAAACACAAAACTGTCAAAGAATTTTTTTGAAAGTGTTATGTCACCTTTCAGTCCCATTATAGAATGACAAGATGCAACGTATACAAAACTTTTTACTTCACCCAATATTAAAGATATAAATAAAATCTAATTATATTAAAAATATATATATATATATCAGTAGTTTATATAATATATTCAATTATTACGTCCAGTTCAAAGTCACTTCTATCTACTATACAAATATGTGTTCATTGACAAACAAATTTATTGTTATATCTGCAATGTCTTATCGAATCTTAAGAACTAAACTAATGGAAGCACAATGATTCCATTTAGAAAGAGATATTTAAGATAAGATATAGAAATAGCGCCATTAATTAAGAAAACTCAAAAATCATCAATTCAAATTGATTAACAAAGCGATTTTGGCCAGAAACCTGTATTTCATAAGGCTGTCAATAGCAATCGCCGTATCTGTTAAGTAGTGCAGCAGATAAAATCGTATCTTTTAATATATGAAAATTGTAAACTAGCAGCACTCAATCAATGTGCGTGGAGAGCAGTGGGAACGCCGTGGGCAGCTTTTACCATGAACACTTTAATTTTCCACGATAAGAATCGAAACTTATAAATAAAGCCGAGTAATTCAATTATAGAAAATCGAGCAAAAGTCTGTGGCGATTGAGAGGTTCACGTTTATAATTAAAACGACGATTATGCAAATGGAAAACGTTAAATTGAGAGAAAGAGAGAGAAAGAAATATTTATGCAAGAAGTATTTATGTGGTGTTGTGCAATATTCGTGTCACTCGGAAAAGAGGTTGAGCGTGAAATTAATTCCATCAATTTAATATTATTAATATAATTAGCGCGCGATGAAATGAGTTTATGTGTGTGTATATTTATATATAGATATATATGAAAATATGTACGAGAGAAATAATATAATGTGTGAAAGAGAGAGAGAGAGAAAACTCATAACAAACATACATAAAGTGAAGTCGCCGCAAATGGTATATTAACATAAAATAATTAATGAAATCCGTGCAATTAAAAGCTAATTCATATATAATAAATATTTATTTGTTAATTGTTTTATTAAGAAGGATCAACAGGTTAATGTTAACTTCGTGATGGAAAATGAACGCGTGTCGACGGACGCAGCAGCACACGCACACGAAACGGTATATCGGGTTCGAATATAAACACTATTAATAATATCATTTGATATCAAAATATTTTGTAATGGATAAAATTTCATAATTTATATTTGTTACTCTAATTTAATACAATTTATTGTTAATAGTTTGAAACTTTTTACATTTTCTCAAACTTTATTTTATTTTTTTTTTAATTAACAAGAATAAAATAAAGTTAGATAACTAATATTTGCAATTAAAATATAAAATCTTAGTTATTAAATGAAAAATTTCAAAATATAAATCAATATAAAAGTCATAAGTTATTTAATATTTCAGTTAATAATTTCAAAATAGAGCAATTCTACGTATAGTGCGGTTTTGATAAGTCCGGATTCAATATAGTACGGTTTGAAAATTTCAATATAAACTAAGTTTCAAAAAATAAATCAATATAAAAGAAAGTTTTGATAAAAAAAATCATATTGTATAAGTTATTAGTTACATTTTAGATAATAATTTGAAAATAGAGTAATTATTTGTAGAGTGCGATTTTGATTAGTCCGGATTCAATATAGTACGGTTTGAAAATTTCAGAACAAACTAAGTTTTAATATGTTTCATAGTATTAATAATAAATATATATAATAATAAGTTTCATAGTATTTTTTTAGTATAAAATCACATTGATACATTTAAATATTTGCTACTTTTTAAGTTAATTTTCAAATAAATTCGATTATAAGTTTTAAATAAACTAATGAAAAATTCTTTGAAAACTGTCTAAAATCGTCTATTATTTAGCATAAACCAATTTATTTATGTTAATTTTAAAGTTTAGAACTATTGACAATAGAAATGTACAATATCCTTTTTTTAATTATATCATAATTAATTACAAAATATTTTTCACTACTTTACATTTTTTTTAAATAAAGATTTTAAAAATTGAAATCTTACTTCAAGTCGAAGAAACGTGAAATGCAACAGAAAACGTTGAAAGTAAAATGTTTACCATACTTTTTTTCTTTCTCTCTCTTTACTGTAATTATTATCGATTTAAAAAAAAATTAAAAGCGAAATAAGAAATCCGCTTAATTTTATTTAATTACGACGGCCGCATTCTGAAATTAGCGTCGACGCAAATTGTAAATTGCCAATTTCGCACATTAAAATATTTAATTAACATTCGATCAATTTAAAAACGCGCATTATGTAATTTTTTAATGATACCAACGAACGTAATGTCGCACCAACAAAAAAATATGTAACGTTAGATGATTGAAATTTTACAGAACGAAATAGTTAAGCAGTGTTTGCTTATTGGAAAGGTGATTTTATATGTTACTTCTTCTTAAAGACTTCTTTTTGCTATACACTTAGCACAATTTTGCCAGTCTTCGTCAAGAAGTTGAAGATTTCACTAATAAAATATATTTTAATGAAATTAAATTTCAACAAAATTGACAGTATTTTGACATTTGACATTGACGTTTCGTATAAAGTGCTTCCAAGTAAAAACATATGGTTTGATCGAAAATATTCGTAATTTTTAATAATTTTAGTGCAAATAACTTTTATATTATTTACTTTGCTATACGCTTAGCACAATTTCATCAGTCTTCATTGAGAAGTTGAAGATTTTATCTATAAAATATGTTTTAATAAAATTATATTTCAACAAAATTGACTGTATTTTAACGTTTTACATTTCGTACAAAGTGCTACCAACTAAAAACATATGGTTTGATCGAAAATATTCGTAAATTTTAGTAATTTTAGTGCAAATAACTTTTATATTATTTACTTTGCTATACACTTAGCATAATTTCACCAGTTTTCATCGAGAAGTTAAAGATTTTACTAATAAAATATATTTCAACAAAATTGACAGTATTTTGACGTTTCATACAAAGTGTTACCAACTAAAAACATACGGCTTGATCGAAAATATGCTTAAATTTAGTATATATGGAGAAATTTTAGAGCAACTTTTAAATTATTTTACACACTTAACACTATTTGAATAAGCTTAAAAT